TACTAGAAAAATTAAGAAAAACAATGAGAGAAATTTAAAAGAATGTTGCTGAATGATTTTAATAGAAAATCAAATTGAGAAGTTTCACTGTTCCACACTGACATCTAATGGTCATGTACAGCAGGTACAACTCTGTTGAGGCACAAAGAGTGTACTGCAAAACAATAACATTATTTATTTATTATAACAGTTATAATGGAATTAAAGAATTCCCTCAGTACCACTCTGAGGGCCTGAAGAGATTATATGGATAATTGGTCATTTATATCATATACTAAGACAGGTTTTTGTAAGATAGATATTTGGTAATTACTATTATAACATATACATGGGTTATTTTTGTGTGACAAAGGTAATAACTATGGCATATTTTAAAAAGGCTTAGGAATAGGTTTACTTATATAAGGAAGGTATCTGTTTCATTCACTCAATGACTGAGGGAGAAGGCGTGGGATTTTAGATTTCGAAGTATATACTTCCTCCCACTCCTTTTGAATGTGTAAATCAAAGTAACTGTGCACTGACAGTTGCTTTTCATTATTTGCAAATATTACTTATTTCTTTCTTTCTGCTTGTTTGTATGTTCATGTCTTGTTGATTGTATGACTGAAGACTGCAACAGTGGAGGTCTAAAATTACATTTATAACTACTTTTATTTAAACCTCAGAGCCCAGATGTGAAGTTTGGAAGTCTGCTGTTATTTTCAAATACGTTGCTGAAAATGTTTATTTTTCACTCTTAACACTTTAAGGTAGAACACATTTTGAGTCACTATATCTTTATGAAAAATGTTTGAACTTAACTCAACCTGACTGAACTATCTCTACCTTTTGGTTCAGCTATGTTATGCTAATAAATTCACTAGATGTCGTTGTGTCCTTAAATAGTTTGTCTTTTCACTTCGCCTCCTACAGGAAGATAGTCACACAAAAAAGTCACTCCAGACATGAGGGCTCTGTGTGGTCGGATTTTGGAAATCACTGTCTGACATTAAGGTGAAGCGATGAAAATATTCTCAATACAATGTACACTTAAACTTTTTGGTGGGACTTTTAGGTGGTTCAAATTTGTTTTAGCAGTAGCTTAGCTTTCATGTCAGACTCATAACATAACATACTGTCTATGGCAGTGGTGTAAGGTAGTTAACACGGGCCCCAGTGCATGCTAGTTACTAGCTATATGGCACACACAGTGACATCACTGGAGCCAAAGGAATCTAAATTATGGAGCAGTGTCTCCCTAGCAGAGCAGGGCTGCTATTGTGACTACTGACTTGTTGCACACAGTGTAATTTGCACTACTGTATTTTATCTGCACTATTTATACTACAGGATTTTTATTGCACTTTTTATGATTACCTCCTCGGCTAGTGCAACCTTAGGGAGCTTTTATTCTTTTAGCCTTACCTGATATAATAAAGTTGATGTATTTATTTCACCCAGTAGTCATAATTGCATATTATGTTATTCAAATCTGCACCTTGCGTACTACATGGCTGTCTACTGTGGGTCTTGTTTATATATGATGGTTGTATCTGCTATGCAGCTTGTTGCACTATGTGCCCAAAACAAATTTCCCGCTTGGGACAATAAAGTTTATCTTATCTTGTCTTATTTTACACTGCCTGCACTGTCTATATTTACGCACCTGGTCTACGGATAAATATCCCATACAATCTCACTTTAAAAAAAATCTGAACTACCCCTTTAAAATGCTGCTGTCTCTTTATTAGTTTCTATCGTGGGTTTTGTCACAGTTTGTGTTTTCTGAGCTGTTAGTAATGCATCCGCTCTGTCTGCAGCTCTTTCTTCACTTGTTGCTGGTGACACAATGCAAGACGACCAAAAACACCACATATCATGAGAAGAAGTTTCTCAGTGCGAGTATTTTAAAACATTATGCAGGGCATCTGTGCAATAATATTGCACAGGACTTTTGTGCAACTACTTTAGGTTGGGCATCTGTGCAACACTTGGGTCTAGGGGTCAGGGGTCGGCAACCTTTACGATCAAAAGAGACATTTTTGACTAATATAATTTTAAAAATCTGTCTGGAGCTGCAAAACATATTTGAGCTTGATATGAAGGTAGCACAGCCTGTTGAGTCTAAATGAACCTATCAACATTATTAATAAGTCTAAATGAGCATTCATTAATGTTTTACCACAAGATGGCTCCTCTGCAGCAGGCTCTTCCTGACGGACCGGCCACAGACAGTGAGGTCTGGGACCCTAACATCCACCACTTGGACACTGAGCACAGGTTCGCCTCAGGGCTCTGTGTTAAGCCCTTTCCTGTATGCCCTATACATACGACTGTGCCCCCCTCCACCACTTTAACATCATCTTCAAATTCGCGGACGACACAACAGTGGTGGGCCTCATCTCTGGCGGTGATGAGACAGCATACAGGGAGGAGGTCCAGAGGTGAATAACCTCCTGCTGAATGCCAGCACAACCAAGGAGATGGTGATGGACTGGAGGAGGGAGAGAGCTGACCCTGCCCCACTACAGATAGAGGGCGTCTGCGTGGAGAGAGTCTCCTCTTTTAAGTTTCTTGGGGTGCATGTGGCTGATAACCTAACGTGGTCCACCAACATGTCAGCAGTAGCTGGAGAGGCCCAGCAGAGGCTACACTTCCTAAGACTGCTTAGGAAATGTGACCTGGATGTGCACCTGCTGCGTTCCTTCTACCGTTCCACCATAGAAAGTGTGCTGACATACTGCCTCACTATATGGTACCCAGGTTGCACAGCCAAGGACAGGAAAGCCCTGCAAGGGGTCATTAAATCAGCGCAGCAAATACGCGAGCGCTAAACAGGACCAAGAAGATCCTGTCTGACCCATCGTACCCAGGCCATGGCCTCTTCAATCTCCTGCCCTCTGGGAAGCGATACAGGGTATTGGAGAGCAGGACAAACAGGCTTAGAAGCACCTTCTATCCATGGGCAATCAGACTTTTGAACACTTGGACTCCAAAGCTAGCCTAGCTCAGGACACTCAAGACAAGCTACTGCTATCCACCTTATTCCTGAGGGCATGACTGTAGAAATGATTATGTGCGTGACTTCCAGTGAGATAGTGGAAGTAGCAGCAAGCTAGTTAGTCCCATAGACTGTCTGTGGTTAGTCGCAGTGGCTACTCTTGGCGGCTAACCACCAACGCTGGTTATTTTCCAAAATAATTTGCCTTCAGTTTCACAAATACTGGTTTATTTTTTAACAAATATTTAACGAATGTTAACTTAGCATTTTCCAAAATGTCTTTGCGGAGCTCTGGTACCTGTTGCACTGTCCGTGTCTGTGACGACTAACAACCAGTCTGAGCTACATTTTTGTCTACATGGCTACATGTTCAGCAACTGTGTGCTGAACATGTGACCAGAACAAAAAAGGGATTGTTCCTGTTGCCATGGTTACCGTTGATATGAGAAATAAAACCACAAGAGTTCCAACGAGACATAGCGAAAAAGTATTAAATCGAAATTTGCAGAAGAGAACGACACGTAGACTGACAGGTCCATCACTCAACGTTAGTACATGACGTCCCCGTCTTTCCCCGTCTGACTTCAGTCTCAACCTACATTAGAAAATAAACTGTGAAATATGTATTTAGTCATTAGGGCTGAGAATGTGTTACTGATTTACCGTACTTCCTTTATATCATATAAAAACACGAATTTATTTTACTCCTACTTTACATTAGGCTACTATTACTGAAGTCTGCTGCTAAATTCAGCTTCGTGTTTCGCTCAGAACAGTCTTTAATAAATCAGAAGGTTAATTGTAAAAGGTTAACGCAGACGAGCGGAGGGTTAGCTGGGAAACATCACATTTATTCACTTTACATGGAGCTACAGTTAATACTGAATTATGTGTTAGTGTCTCTTAATAAGTCATCAGAAATCATAAATCATCTTCAGAAGGAGCAGATGGTACCTCAAGCTAGCTCGGGCCATGTTAAAGCTAACAATATTTTAACGGAGCAAGGCGAGCTAATTGCTAGCGCGCAACAAACCTCAATGCTTTGAGCCGGCTGTCAGAGATGGCAGAGGTATGATGACATGATCCTGTTTGAGCTATAACAGGTGGCGTGTTCCATGTTTTATTTCCCATTTGCTCTTGGAAAGATTAAACAGAGTACTGTAAACAAACTGTTACCATTGGAAATTGCCGGTTTTGGTTCAACACTGAAAGTTGCAACCATAACTCACGCAAGGTATCATGTGGTCGAGGAATAAGGTGGATAGAGGTTTGGCAACGTGCAGAGGAAAAGATGTATGATGCACATTTTAGTTGATGAAATGTTAAAACAGTTTTCTTATTTGGTGTAAAGGCTGTACACTTTTACGGTTGGAGAATGTAAGAACTTTACAACGATGGTAAATGAACATTAAAATGTTGAAGAATTAAAGTTCTTCATGTACTTCTTTTTGTCAAAACCACAGGAAGCCATTGGTGAGAGGCGAAAGAGCTTCATGTGGCTCTGGAGTCGCAGGTTGCCTACCCCTGGTCTAGGGCATCCTGTAATACTCTTGGGTTGTATGGAACTGGGGTTATAATGTAACTGTACTGTAGTTTGATTGTGTGGCCGTGTCATGTTCTCTCGAATGTCCAGGACAAATTTCCCTTAAGGGGGAGAATAAAAGCTAATCTGATCTGATCTATTTTCATAATGAAACCAAGCTGACGGTCACAAGATCTTCATCAGGGTGAATGTTTGGATGAATCCGAGCTCTCAGGGTTTAAATTTAGACACACAAACAAAAGAAATTCTCCAGAAAACAACAGTAAAACTGAGGAAGGAGATGAGTGGAGAAAAAGAGGAAGGAAAGGTGACATAAAAATAGGCTGAATGTTGAGGAATCATTCGTGAGATTCAGAGGAACCCCAATGACGAAGAGGAAGGGAAGGGCGGAAGGGAAGGAGACGAGGAGAGGGGATGAAGCGGCGGGAGGAGGAGGAGGAGTAGGAGGAGTAAATCAGTGTTGGAGACTCTGACGCGGAAGAAGAATCAGCCCCGGAGAAGGAAGCAGAAAACCCAAAATGAAAGCGCCCCCCCCTCCAGCTCTCTTCACACTTGTTGAATAACGTTTATCTCCAGCCCTGCGGCGGGTTTTGGACATTTCTCCACCCGGGTTCTGGCGTCTGTCTCCCGGGTGTGGACGGGCAGGTTTGAGGCTGCATGGCTGAGCAGCGCTTTGACTGACAATAACATCCATTTCAAACACTTCACACTGCCGCACACACACACACACACACACACTCAGCATCCACCTCTACTGGATCGATATTTCATTTTTATTTATTCAGCTGCCCAAGCGGGAGCTCCGGGAATCACAGCGAGCACGGCGCACTGTCCTCGGTGCAGCGCCGCTGGGTGGCACCGCTGTCTCCGGGCGGAGGGACTCTGATCACGGCGTGGTGGACGGATCTCTCCACCGTGAGAAGACGACGTCGAAGAGACTTGAAAACAGAGCACTGCCGCCTCCCTGGATCACCCACACCATTTTTAATTAGGGGGATACTCGATTAATATTTCAGCAGTTAGGTAGGCTGTTTTCTACTCTGTGGGCGGGAGGCTCTGGGAGGCACGCCGACCTCAGCGCCCTCTCCGCCGGGCAGCACCGCTGGGTGGTACCGCTGGGTCCAGCCGGTGAGATGAGTCTCCACCGGGGGTTAGCAAACTAATCTCGTTTGGATCACAAAGTCGTGACCTGGTTGCCTTACTTTGTATTTCTGGACCTGGATAATTAGCTTCTGAGGCAGCGGGGGAAGCTGCAGGACTCACACCGAGCACGGCGCCCTGTCGCCGGGCTGCACCGCCGCGTCCGGCCCGGTGGGATGCCTCGCCACTGGGAGAGGATTATTTTCTAGAGCTCCAGGCTTTTTTCTCCACCTCACCAGTCACACTCCGTGCTGTCACGCTCCTGTCAGTGAGTTTGTGTGTAGGTAGGAGGACATGGCGGACTCCGGCCGGGCCAGACCGGCGGACCCTGACGCCGCGGACGGCCGGACAGCGAGTCCTCTGACCGGTAAGAAGAGGACGCAGCAGTCGCCTGGTCCCCGGCCCAAGTACCAGAGCTCTGCACCGGGCCACTGCCTCAGGAAAGTCACCCTGACCAAACCCACCTTCTGCCACGGCTGCAGCGACTTCATCTGGGGGCTCATCGGCTTCCTCTGTGAAGGTAAGACTGCATAAATATAGTGTTTTATTTATTGTATGTTATTCATTATTTATAAGAAAACTTGACCTCATGCCATGCATAAGTGCATACACTGGTATGTGGTCCTAGTTTGGACTGAACCACCAACCTTGGGTGGGTGTGCTGCTGCCTCTGAGCGGCAGGTGACCCTGATCAAGGTGTGTTTGGGTGTGTCCTTCAGCGCCTTCCAGTCAGGCAGTGGTGGGGCTAGGTTTTAACTGACACGTGGGGACTGGATCTCAGATCAGATCTGGATCAGTTCGAAACTTGTTTAAAGGAAAGATACGCAGCGTTTGTTCAGTGTGTCATTGTGACCAAAGTCATTCAGCAGTCACTGAAAGATGCATCATCTGCAGCCTGCAAACACGAGCATCATCTATTCATCCCTCTTCCTTTCCCCTTTCTTTTCTTTCCTCGTCATTCACTTAATTTCCACTTCCTTTCCTTTCTTCTTTCTTCCTCTGTCCTTCCTCTCCTTTCCTCATTACCTTTCCTTCCTCTGTCCTTTATTTCTATGCCCTGCATTTTTCTGTCCTCCTCTCTCCTTTCATTCACACCACTTTTTCCTTCCCTTCTCACAATGCCACGACTTAATTACGAATTCAGCAGGCGAACTGAAGAGCAGATTCAAAACAACCTCATTCAACAGTCACACACACACACACACACACATTCTCCACTCTGCCCAGTAACACACTGGTTGTCCATGATCAGAGCTGCAGTCAAGTCGTGATTTACTTCCTCGGGGTTGGCATGGAAACAGGAGGTGTGTTTGTTGAGCAGCCAGCGGAGACATGACCATCATCATCATCACCATCATCATCCTCATCATCACAAACGGCAGCAGATGTACTCAAAGCTGCAAAACAACAACAACAACAACAACAACAAAAACAACACTGCTGCTCGGCTGGATTATGTAACGTTTTCTTCTTTAAGCCGTCGAGTTGGATTAACAGGAACATGTGATGTCATCAAAGGGCTTCATGTGCCTGAGAATATTTATTATACATTATATTATAAATAAAACACCAACTGCTTTTATTATTAAGGAGATTATGTTCCCTGAAGCTGCAGCTGCACACAGACGGCCCAGCTCTGAGGGATTACTCCAACTTGTCTCTTTATGTTGGTAGTTTGTCCTTAATTTCTATTAGTAATAATAATTTGTACTCAGACATCTTTAAAAATAAGTCAGAAACAAACCTCCATGTTAGACAAACTCATTTGGACGAGAAAACAAAGACAAACTGTTGTTGTAAACATTAATCACTGCTTCAACTCTGACCCACTGTACTTACTCCGTGCACACTCAGATTTCCTGTATAATGAGGGATTATTACGGCGTTTTAGGTGCGTTCACTCAGAGTTTGACCTCCTGATGAAGTGGTTCAGATATGTGGTTCTCAACCCATTTGGCTTAGATGACTAAAAATGTTTATCTCCTCATCAGAGGTTGTGTACGTCCATTTTTAGAGGTAAAGTGATTTAGTAATGCACAAGAACAAGGCAGAATGTATAGTCATTCTCTCTGTGGACAATATTCAGTATACAGAAGGACTGAATTGCATTTCTACAGTGCTTAGTTTACACAGTAAGAATAAATACAATAAGAAAGACATTGAAAAAACAACTATAATAAAATGCAGGTAGTATTTAGCTGTCTTAAGGGGGGCGAATATACATGCTTTTTCTTATTTTGCACATCCATTTTCATCCGCTTATCTGGGGCCAAGCAAAGCACCCCAGACGTCCCTCTCTCCAGCAACGTTTTCCAGCTCCTCCTGGAGGACCCCAAGGTGTTCCCAGGCCAGTTGAGGTTATTCCTCCAGTGTGTTCTGGGTCTGCCCCGGGGCCTCCTGCCAGTGGGACATGCCTGAAACACCTCCAACAGGAGGCGCCCAGGAGGATCCTGATCAGAAGCCCGAACCACCTCAACTGACCCCTTTCGATGCAAAGGAGCAGCAGCTCTACTCCGAGCTCCCTCCGGATGTCTGAGCTCCCATGGAGGAAACTCATTTTGGCCGCTTGTAGCTGCGATCTCATTCTTTCAGTCACTACCCAGAGCTCATGACCATAGGTGAGGGTTGGGACGTAGATGGACCAGTAAATCGAAAGCTTTGCCTTCTGGCTCAGCTCCATCTTCACTATGACAATCCGACACAGCGCCCGCATCACTGCAGAAGCCGCACCAAACTGCCGATCCATCTCACGCTCCATTCTACCCTCACTCGTGAACAAGACCCTGAGATACTTGAACTCCCTCGCTTGAGGCAGTAACTCTCTCCTGCAGAGAGCAATCCACCAGTTTCCGACAGAAGACCATGGCCTCAGACTTGGAGGTGCTGACTCTCATCCTCTCACGTTATTTTGGACACTGAATGACTATTACATACATTGAAAAGTATTGTACTTCATGTCTCCCTGTGCTGGAGCCAGACCAGTTTGGCTTAATATCAGTTTTGGCCTTATGCGCCACTGAGACACCTTCCTAGGAGCTCCTGAACGTGACCCCAAACACTGTGTCCAGTTCTCATTAAAGAATAGTGGTTGGTGTGTCTTTCTCATGCTTGGGTCCAATTTCAGAGTTCTGGGAGTTTGAGGGTTCTGCACAGTGTCTTAGCTGTTCCTAGGACTGCACTCTTCTGGACAGAGACCTCAGATGTTGGACCTGGAATCTGCTGGAGCCACTCTCCCAGTTTGGGGGTCACAGGCCCCAGTGCTCTGATTACCACTGGGACCACTCTGGACCTCACCTTCCACATCTGTTCTTTCAGTCCTTGGCACTTCCTGATGTTACTGTCAGCTGGTATCGCCACATCTACCACAATTTTCCTCTTCTGCTCCTTGTATCAACAACACTGTGTCTGGTTGGCTAGCTCGCAGCTGTTTGTCAGTCTGGAACTTGAAGTCCCTCAGGATCTTAGCCCTGTTGTTCTCCACTACTTTCAGTGGTGTGTCCCATCGGGATTTGGAGATTTCTAGTCCATACTCTGCACAGATGTTCCTGTACACTATCCCAGCCACTTGGTTGTGCCTCTCGGTGTGCGCTGTCCCAGCTTGCATCTTACATCCTGCTACTATGTGCTGGAGTGTCTCATGGGCCTCTTTGCACAGCCTGCACCTGGGGTCCTGTCTGCTATGGTGGACCCCTGCCTCTATGGATCTGGTGCCTGTTCATTGTGCTGCCATGATCGAGGCCTCTGTGCTGTCCCTCAGGCCGGCCTTTTCTGGCCACTGGTAGGATTTCTTGATGTCAGCCACTTCCTTTATCTGCAGATGGTACACCCAATAAAGGGGTTTGGTCCTCCATGATATTTCCTCTTCCTCCTCATCACCCTCTGTCTTCTGCTGCCTGAGACACTCTCTGAGCAGGGAGACATCTTCCTGATGTATTCTTGGATGCTCCTTGTTTCATCCTAAATCTTGGCTTGGACACGAACTGATCCTCACCCTCCCTCTTTTCGTTTTTATGTCTTGACATCTGCAGCATCCATCTCCTCTTGTGGCCAGCTCACTATAACAGCGGGGTATCTGTGGTAACATCTTGATAGCTTGGGTCTTATTCCTCCCATTGAGCTGTACATATACACACACACACACACACACACACACACACACATATATGTATATACAGTATATATATATATGTTTAGTTTAGTTTAGTTTTACTCTGTTTGATGATCAAGGTGCTTTGGTTAGTTTTAGAGTTGACTGATTTGCAGGATGTATGAAGAGTTGCAAGATCACGCTATGAGCGCTATGATTGTCTCCACTGTTGCGTTTTTAAAAAAATGAAAACAAAACTCCCCAAACAAAAATTCCCCAAATATACAGCCCTTTACAAAAAAGGTTAAAATCAACGACTTCAAGCAATAAAAACTAAGATTAACCAAAAACATGGTGGTTAAAAACTGTAACCCTGTGACGTCTTCCACACTCCAAACTCAATTCAGCACACCTGCCTTTATAATTTAAGGTTCCCCCTTTTCCACCGTGCAGTGCGGTACAGTTCAGTTCTATGCACATTTATTCCATTTCCACAGTGAAAAGTTGTGGACGGCACCAATGGAACCGTTCCTTAGCGTCCCCATGTTTGGTCCCCCCTCTGTTGGGGTACCTAGCACACAGATCTGGTACTAAAAAGTGTAGCTGTGAACACTGCAGTCTGATTGGTCAGTAGAGGACGGTCACTCTGCTCAGGGCTGAGTTGTGTCTGGTTTTGAGGCTCATGTAACCACTGTTCATACTGTGGAGAGTTTTATTAGTAAACTGTAACTATAAAGCCCAGTGTCCACACTTTGGGTACAGTACCTTTGGAACCAGCAGTACCCCTTCAGACATGGTACCTAGACCCTCGTATTTCCTCATCAGCGGTGACACAGATGGAAGTCTGCACCTGGTTTATCGTCCACAGAACGAGGCTGCACGCTCACATTTTCAGAACAAAATAGAACAGGCTGCAGTGAGAGTCTCTCTCCATGGGATATTTAAAAATAGCAGCTTTGTGCATTTAGTCCTTCTCAGGCAAGCTCAGGGGTTTAGTGTTGCTGTAGCCCACAGGAAGTGAGGATTAGAATATATGACCTTCACATAATACGGCCAAAATTAATAAAATAAACACTTGAAGATCCACTCGTTATTAAAAGTGTCTGACATGTAAAGACTTAAATAATGGTCAGAGTTGTCACATTGAAATTAAAGGTGTGCTGATGGATTCATGTCGTCAACTCATGCATTGAGTAACATTACAGGTAAATGTTCCACCTTAAAAGTTGCCGGCAGTCGGCCCAGTGAATTAAATTATTTCTTCTCTGACTCCAGCTGCTGTGAGCGGCAGCAAAACATCCTTTCATAGAGTGACTCAAGAATAAATAATAGGGAACTTGCTAGAAATGGCTCTAACAGACACAATCTGTTGTTTTTGGGTAGTTTTTCCTGAAATGAAAAGGAAATTACGTTCTCATGTTGTACATCTTGAA